AATGGGAACTCCTGTCAGCCCCGTACCATGTGGATTTGGCTACAGCAAAAACACCTTTCCCCTCTTTATCAGCACACCAACTCACCTGTATGAGTAGGGGTTGCCAAGCTAGGTTTGATAAGGTGTGGTCAGACTTCAGCTGCCCTACCCCTTCTAACATCCCTCCTACTCCATATGTCTTCCACCATGTACTTTTAGTTTCTTGACAATATGTGTCTCTTTTTTACATTCTGTCCCACTTAAGACTATCCATTGGGAGGGACAATAAAGGACAAATGGACATGACACCCAGTGACATCACTCTTTTTTGCTATTGATCTATATGATTGGAAAATGCTATATCCATGTTCATTCTGTCAAGAGAACATTACTTGTATTTAATGTATACTCAATATATGTTTCTTGCTATGTTGTTTTGGCGACTATACTGCACAAACAAAAAAGCCTGTTAAAAATGATGTATGCCGTGTGTGTTCAAGTGTAAAAAGGAAACCAACTGATCCTGACAAGGTGCTGTTTGATAATGAAACTAATGTGTACATACCACATACATACCAAGAATATTGTGAGAAATGCTTGAATGTACAGTATGTATACAAATAAAAGTTACTAGTTACGGTACATAGTTAGTCTGACTGAAAAAAGGCAAAAGTCCATCCTGTTCAACCATAGTGAAACCACAGTGAAAATCATAAGTGCAAAAAGTGAAAAACATGCATGGTTATACATTTATGAAAGGAAAGATAATAACCTCAACAAAAGTTGAGAACATTACCTAAATAAAAATATAAAAGTGAAATCAACAACAAATTGGGGCTGAGTTACAAAAACTGGAGAGCGTAACTGTGCATGGTAGCCAATCAGCTTCTAACATGACTTGTTCAATGAAACTATGACAAAAAAAAAATGGTAGATAATTGCACCTGAATTTGCACTCTCCAAGTTTAGTAAATCAACTCCATTGCATATCTAACACATTCTAAGTATAAACTACATCACTCAATGAATCCTGTCAATTCTAAACTGATACCATGTGGTGTCACAGTATCCAGCAAGAAAATTGTGCTTGCCTGCATCATACATTTACAAAAAGAGCAAGAGCCACAAAAATGACTACTTCACCCTTGAGTATGAATGATGGGTCTTGAAAAATGGCTATGGCAAGTTTATCACTAAAATTAGGAGCATGGTTTACTAATAGTAAACCTGTGAATTGTTGTGTTATGTCCGACAACAGTTCCTGCCTACTATTTGATGTAGTGCCCACCCGCAATCCAGCACTGGAGAAGAACCGGATGTTTTGACACCGCAGGTAAAATAAGTAATATACTTTTCTCAAAATGCAATGATTTTTGCTACTTCCTTGAGCCCAGCTTTAAGTTTCATTAACCATTTCCCGTCTGACCCATGTACATAAACGGCTGTACGTGAGCGGTGCAGGGGCGGGTTGCCGTTTTTAAACGTCCACCCGCTTTCCTGTATGTGCGCGCCCAGGGAGCGCATGGCACCGCAATCTGGTGCCCACTGTGTCCCCCGCAGAACACAGCAGAATACCTATTGCAGTACGAGACCTCAGTGTTAGGTCCCCATTCATGTGTTCACTGACATCATTGCTTACTACTTATGAAATCTGTGAATGATCACAGAGATCACATGGTACAAGGCTATTCACAACAGCCTTGTACCATGTGACAAGCTGTGACCAATCACAGCTCTTACAGCATTTCTCAATGGCTGCAAGAATGCAGCCAGAGAGAAGGAGAAATGATTGCTTTTACACCCATAAAGGCTGTAAAAGCAATCAGTGTAAAAAAAAAAAAAAAAAAGAAACTCTTCATCACCCCCCACAAGTAGTACAGTGTCACTATGGTGACACTTCACTGCTAGGGTGACGGTATGTTAAAAAAAACATAAATAATAATATAAAAAAATTAAATAAAAATGTAAAAACACTTTTTGAAAAATTATAATTTTTGGTTATAAACTAATTGGGGTTATTTATTTATTTTTTACTAAAAAGATGGCTGAATACATTTTGGCCAAGATTTAGGAAGAAACATTATTTATTTGCAAAATTGTATAAGAAAAACACTTTTTTTTCAAAAATGTTTGGACTTTAGATAGCAAAAATAAAAATCCCAGTGGTGAATAAATACCGCCAAAAAAGTTTTATCTGTTGCAAAAAAATTCATATGGGTAGTGTTGCACGACCACGCAATTGTCATTCAAAGTGTGATAGCACTGAAAGCTGAAAATTGGCCTGGACAGGAAGGGGGTGAAATTGTCTGGACTTGAAGTGGTTGATTAAACAAAAAAAAAACCACTTATCTTTTTCTTACAGCTTGCATTGTCTCTGCTTTTCCCATTAGTTATATCAGAAAAAGAAAACTGCTCACTGATAATTTTTTATTATTTTCCTGCTGAGCTTTTATAGTGATAGACACCAAAAAAAAAAAAAAATCAATAAAACTACCCACAGATTAACTCCATACACTCAAACTACAGTATATTGTAATGGAAATCAGAGATCCTACTCTACCAGTACCAGTTCATATGCCTATACTTATGAGAATAATGACACAGCCAAAAATGATATGAGAAACAATTTGGATGAAAAATGGCAATCATGGATTTCTTATTCTGAGTCTCTATTGATTTTTTTTTGGAGAACCAAATTATGCCCCTTTTAAAAATAACAACTCTTTAAAAATAATAAGCATCCCTACAGTGTGGACAATTAAACTACCCTTGTTGGATGTTCACTCCTTCTTTGCACATATTTCTTTATATCTGCAATACATCTTTTAATTGTTCTTGGTAGCCTTATGTGTGTGTGAAATCGAGTTGTTGCAGTTAGTTCACTAAAAATGTAAATAATATTCTTTAAAATGAAAATAAATTAAAAAAAAAAACAGTTTTCACTTAGTTATGCTGCATTAAGTGTAAAAATGAATCCTGTTTAAATTATGAAGGTTATAATCATTTCATAGCTAACGTTTACTTTTTAGTTTATTTATCTTGATGCCACTAGATGGCAGTAGGAAAGTGTTTTATTTTTAAGAAACCTAAAATGAGCTTCACAAGACAAGATTATGCAACAAATCCGCATTGCTTTCTTGAGGTACAGTAAAATGTACTGTAGAAAAAGAGGGACAGCACATCCATAATTAAATACTTCAGTTGCATATTGTTTTTGAAATAACATCTCAAGTTTTAAGGATTTCCAAGATCTGAAAATAAATAATAAACCAGTAGCAACAAATGCTTTTGCAGTGAAAGCACCGATCCAGATGATTATATGTCAGACTGTGAATTGAGACAAGGCAAAGGGTCTCCAGCATGATAAACTGGAAGAAGAAAAAATTTGGATGTAAAAGGACCAAACTGCTATGACTTTTTTATGCTAATATTGTTTTTACCATGGTACGTGTTCTCTTATGAAAAATCTAATTTATATTATAAATTACTAGATTTCCATAAAGATTTATATAGAGTAAAGGTGACAACAAGCTTTTGCAACAATGCAGTCAGCGTGGAAGGGATATCTGCCCCACAGGAGCCCTGAGGGCCTGAAGACATGGCTGAGAGATCTGCAAACCATTTTAATATATATTGTATATATGTGGAAAAGAATAATACCTTTTCAAAATCCAGTCTGCTCTTTCTTCCTGGGAAGAATCATGTTGATGCTGGGAATTGTGTGGTTTAACACACATTGCTTAGTTCATCTTTAATAGTAGATGCTTTAAAGTAGAACTATCGGTACAATCCTACAAGAATGAATTTCTGACATGTCACATTATACAGAAATTGTATTCTTTTCGAAAGCTGGAACTGTTTACTACTAAAAATATATAGTTAGTCTGGCTGAAAAAAGACAAAATTCCATCCAGTTCAACCATAAAAAAAAAAAAGTTATAATTCTATACCCACAGTTGATCCAGAGGAAAGTAAAAAAAACAGCAAAGCATGATACAATTTGCTCCTGCAGGGGAAAAAATTCCTTCCTGATCCCCCGGTAGGCAATCGGGTATTCCCTGGATCATGGCTGGATCTAATCCGGGGTGAAGTAAAAAAAAGTCAGGGAGCATAATGTCAATAATGTGACAGGGATGCATAGAACCAGTATTCCCTGTTCACTCTGCACACTTCTGTACTACAAAAGTCATAACCCGGAAGTCTGACAGGTAGTGCAGGAGTGAACTGGGAATGCTAGTATAAATTAGGCTGTCATTAGTTTAGGGTGAGTGAACAGAACCTGTGCCCCCTTATATCAGGTGTCCCTAACAGAGTCCCTCCCTTATATCAGGTGTCCTTACCACAGTGCTTCTCACCGAAAAGGTTCACATTAGTGTCCCCTTACATCAACTGGCCGCATCAGAGTGCCTCCATACATCAACTGTCCCCATCAGGTCTCATGGATTTTTGGATGCACTCTCATAGCCTACCCCAGCACCCATTGGATCCGGGCCTGGTTCCCAAGCAGACCAGTGACTTAGGACTAACATGTATTATCAGAGAAAAATGTCATCCTTCACCTTTAGATTGCAAGTTCCATAAGCAGGGCCCTCCAGTTCCTTCTGTATTGAACTGTATTGTAATTGTACTGTCCCCCTTATATTGTAAGGCGCTGCATAAACTGTTGGTGCTATATAAATACTGTATTATAATAATAATAATAATCTGCAAGTGTTGGAATACAGTGTTCATGTATTTTATGCGACAACTACATCAGTATTCAGTAGAGATACATTCTTCAACCAGTAGATGGCAGTGTTTATAAGTTTGTAGCTGCATCTATGGTACTGTAAACTCCATGTCTTTTCTTTAAACCAGTTACCTTCTGCCCTATAGCAGAAGTACTGCTACAGCATGGCAGGGCTGTGCAAAATCACATACAGTATATATACTTGATTTGCATTTCTAGGTAGGCTCCCTACCCGTGCCTCTATTGGCTGCTGGGGATGTCAATCACCATGTCTCAGACAGTGATTCCTGTGATCGTCGGCAGGGCTGAGAGGGGAGAGATCTGTGAGTAAACAACACAGATCTCTCTCCTGTCAGCATGGACGTGCTGCTTTCTATGTCTCTGCACAGCAGAGAAATACAAAGCAGCATGTCTCCCTTGTAAAACACAACACAGCACACAATGTGAAACACAAACAGCACACAGTTAACCCTTTGATCGCCCCAGATGTTAACCCCTTCCTGCCCAGTGTCATTAGTACAGTGTCAGTGCCTTTTATTAGCACTGATCACTGTATTAGTGTCACTGGGGATGTCAGTAGCCGTTAGTCAGTTACCCCACCCCAGTGTCAGAATGCTAAAATGCAGTCCCGCTATAAGTCACTGATCGTTGCCATTACTAGTATAAGCAATAAAATTCCAGTATATATACTGCTATTTGTAGACGCTATAACTTTCATGTAAACCAGTACACTTATTGGTATTTTTTTTTTAGCAAAGACATGTAGCAGAATACATTTTGGCCTAAATGTATAAAGTAATTAGATTTTTTAAATTTGTTTATTGGCTATGTTTTATAGCAAAAAGTAAAAAATATAGTTTTTTTTGTTTAAAATTGTCGGTCTTTTTTGTTGTTTATAGCGCAAAAAAATAGAAACCGCAGAGGTGATCAAATACCACTGAAAGAAAGCTCTATTTGTGGGGAAAAAAATCACATAAATTTAATTTACGCACAGCGTTGCATGACTGTGCAATTGTCAGTTAAAGTGATGCAGTGCTGTATCACAAAAAATGGCCTGGTCAGGAAGGGGGGTAAATCCTCTGTAGAACGAGATGTTAAATAAAGTTTCCAGTTTCTTGGTTGCAGTAAACACATGTGGACTGCGTACTGTCTGTTCTGTAAGGCTATAAACAGAATTTCTAACAACAAGAAAGATGAAGCATTTCCCCAGTCTCCCACGAGTCATCATTTATTTGGACTAATGTATCATTTTAAAATTTTAACTTGGGATAACACATATTTTATATTTGTATGTGTTTCTATGTACATAGCTTAAATAATTATTGTGGCATATTTTTACAAACTGTGCCTCTTCATTTTATGTTACTGAACAGCCCCCAGCCTTTCTATTGTGACAGTCAGACTGAAATTATTGTAGTCAGTCATGACACTTTCTCCTAAGGAAGATCTAAAAGGTAAAAATGTGAGAAAAAAAAAATTAGGTATGCTGTATACATATACAAGTATAACATTTTTTTTCTCAAATCTGAGCAGCAAAAATGGAAATACACTTAACCACTTCAATACTGGGCACTTTTACCCCCTTCCTGCTCAGGCCAATTTTCAACTTTCAGTGTTGTCGCACTTTGAATGACAATTGCGTGGTCATGCAACACCCATGTACCCATAAAAAAAGTTATCATTTTTTTCACACTGAACATGGTACACAGGAGTGCAGAACGAACTGCACTCCTGTGATCTACAGGAGAAGTACAGCCAAAAGAGCTTTGGCTGTATTTTTCCTTTAACAATTTCATGTTCTAAATCCAGCCTGTATCATTTAATGCTAAAAGTTATTGGGCTGCAACCTTTGAATGTAAGATACCACATTAAAAACTATGAAAAAAAAAGACAGATAATGGTGGTAGGAGACTTAATCGCAAAGATGCTAAATAGTATGTTGTTTACTGAGCACTCGGGTTCAGCACATCATGGATTTAATCAGACTACTAGGAGGGGCTGGGGAGGACCCAGCTGTCAGGGTACATGTTGGTACAAATGACAAAGTCAGAGGAAAATAGAGTGTCCTAAAAATTATTTCTCAGACATAGAGACTATATTAAACTAAATAACCTCCAAGGCAGTATTGTCAGAAATACTGCCTATATGTCACGCCACACCAGAGAGGCAGCAGGAGCCTTAAGGAACTTAACAAGAGGCTGAAGAGCTGTGCAGGAGGGAGGGTTTTGATTTCATAGAGAGCTGGGCTGACTTTTCAGTTGGTTACCAGCTCTATAGCAGGGACGGACTGCACCTAAATTGGGAGGGTGCAGCTCTACTGGGAGAAAAGATGGCCAGAACGCTGAAGGAACTTTTAAACTAGGTGGTGGGGGGGGGGGGGGGGGGGGGATTAAAAGGAAGCTATACCAGGCAGAAAGCAAGGGTCAAAGGGTGCTGTAGTGGGCAAAACTGGTAGTGTAAAAAGAGCACCCAGAACCAATGCACTATATGGGCCCCAATTCAGTTTATGAGATCCTCCTTCTCCTTGCAGCATGGCACGTCCCCAACCCTGCAGATTGTAACCTTTAATTTGGGATGAGTTTTTGGTTAATTCTAAGTATCAATACCTTTTATGGTTCTAGATGTGGTCTTAATGGCTGAGCCAGCTTTGACAACCAAGCATTTTTATGATTTCTTAACCCCCTTCCACTGGGAAGTCATCCTCACCTAGTAGCTTTCCTTCCAACCCCCAGGCCTCTCACCATACAGCGTCAACTCATTTTTGATTGGCACATTGTGTTGTGTAATTGTTTTGGGTAGTATCTCATAATGTGGTTCTATGGATTTACTTGTTTATATTATCATTATATGTTATAATATGCATTTACAGTATGTTTTATCATTAGTGCCCTGATCCTGTAAGAAGCTCCTAGCAAAGTGCATTGGGACATCTCCTGTTTCATACTCGCCACCTGGAGATCTGCAAATTCATACTGTCTATACATGGTAATCCATGATGTGCTGATAGAAAGCTCATTCTTGAAGTATATGCCAGGTTGAGTGGCGGGAGTTATATTTAGAGGCATTTATGCATTCATTTCTTAGATGTCTTGCAGGACAATTTCATTAATCAGTTGGTAGAATTGACACTCTGCTGGACTTACTGATTATAAACAAAAGAATGTGTTGCGCTGCTAGCATAAATCAATACATGTAAATATACATGCAATCCGCAAGGACATAGTCAACTTGCAATCTACCTCCCCATCTAGCCTCCCCCCTTCCATCACCCCCTCATCTCTCCCCTCCTCTGACCTCGCAACGGCACTGCCCCCCACCACACCCAAGGCCCTGCCTACCGCAACCCCCCCATCACTGCACTCCTTCAGCCCTACTACCACTGAGGAAGTCACCAGAGTCTTCTCAGAAGCCCGCCTCACTACCTGCCCCCTGGACCCTATCCCCTCTCAACTCCTCCGGTCACCCCCCTCTTCCCTCATCCGCTCTCTTACCCACATCTTCAATCTCTCCCTCTCTACTGGCGTCTTCCCCTCCCCCCTAAAACATGCGCACATCACCCCCATACTCAAAAAGCCCTCCCTGGACCCCACTGACCTCAACAACCTCAGACCAATTTCCCTGCTGCCACTCACTTCCAAGCTCCTTGAGCGCTTGGTCTACGATCGCCTAAGCACCCACCTAACTGACAGCAACCTCCTTGACCCACTACAGTCCGTCTTCCATCCCCTACACTCCACCGAAACTGCCCTCCTCAAAATCACCAACGATCTACTAACCGCCAAAGCCAAAGGCGACTACTCTGTCCTCCTTCTCCTAGACCTCTCCGCGGCCTTTGACACAGTCGACCACCCCTTCCTCCTTAATAAACTACTCTCCCTTGGCATCAGAGACACCGCTCTCTCTTGGTTCTCGTCCTATCTATCCCAACGCTCCTTCAGCGTTTCCTACAACGGTGCCACCTCCCCTTCCCTCCCCCTCTCTGTCGGGGTCCCCCAGGGCTCTGTCCTTGGACCCCTTCTCTTCTCCATCTACACCTCCTCCCTTGGCAAACTCATACACTCCCACGGCTTCAACTACCACCTCTACGCTGATGATACTCAAATCTACCTATCCACCCCTCACCTCACCCCCACATTCTCCACCCGCATCACTCACCTCCTAAACGACATCTCTGACTGGATGTCGCTCCATTTCCTCAAGCTCAACCTCTCCAAAACCGAGCTTCTTGTCTTTCCCCCTTCCCGCGCCCCCCCCCATCCTTTCCATCACTACCAACAACACCACCATCAATCCCGCCCAGCAAGCCAAAGTCCTTGGCGTCATTCTGGACTCAAACCTTTCCTTTCAACCTCATGTCAAATCACTTACAAACACATGCAGGCTCCACCTCCGGAACATCGCCAAGATACGCTCCCTCCTTACCCCAGACACCACTAAACTACTCGTACACTCCCTGATTATCTCACGCCTTGACTACTGCAACTCCCTCCTCACCGGCCTACCCCAGCGCAAACTCTCCCCGCTTCAGACCATCCTGAACTCAGCTGCCAGACTCATCCACCTCTGCCACCCCCCTCTGCCTCTCCCTCCACTGGCTCCCCATTGCCCAACGCATTAAATTCAAACTGCTCACTCTGACCTATAAGGCCATTCACAACACTGCCCCTAACTACCTCACCGACCTGATTCCCAGGTACCACCCTACCCGTACCCTTCGCTCTTCACAGGACCTCCTTCTATCTTGCTCCCTGGTCTCCTCCTCCCACGCACAACTGCAAGACTTCTCCAGGTCCTCCCCCATCCTCTGGAACTCACTACCTCAATCCATCAGACTGTCACCTTCCCTCCTCACATTCAGGCGCTCCCTGAAAACCCACCTCTTCAGGGAAGCCTACCCCACCCTCACCTAACAGCCGCTGCCCTTCCCTCCTCCTACCACTCCATCCCCCACAGCCATTTCCTCCTGTACCTCTACCCCCCCTCCTAGATTGTAAGCTCGAAAGAGTAGGGCCCTCTTACCCCTTGTGTGCTGTTTGATGTTACTGTACTGTTTCATGTATTGTCCCCCTCTCTGTTGTACAGCGCTGAGCAAACCCTTTGGCGCTATATAAACTCGATAAATAAATAAATAAATAAATATACAAACAAAAAAGTGACTAATAGTCCCAAAAGATGATAAAACATAAAAATAAATGCAATTCTTCAAAAAATCCAAATAAGTGAAAAATCTTCTTGCTGGTGATTGCACCAAAATCCTAGTGCTGTAAATCTTCAATACATGTGAATCACCACAGTGAACATAGACTTCCAGGTGGACTCTCAGCTTCTCGCATGGACCTGTATGTGGACACAGGTCAAACAAAGCATCTCCCCTATTAGTGGGGGTAACACATAACTTGCTCCTCTGCGTACTCTTCCCCTTATGAATCACCACTGGACCTTCACAAATGGCACCTGATTTCAGTACAGCCAACTCTGTGGATAAAGCTCAACAACCACAAAGTAGACCAGAGTGCAGTAGGCTTCTTTAAAAGGCATATATTAATTAAAGCATATGAAGTCACGTGATAACAGTGTTAAAAACACATGAAATAGCGGTCAGAATCAAACAATGGAGAGCAAGACCCTGCCTGTCGG